CTGATGCTTGAAAAACTATAAACAAAATGGAATTCCACTCGTCACTTTCAGTGCAAAAGTGAGAGCTAAACGCAACCATTTACATAGACTCAGTAGGGCAAATTTTTAGGGGATTTAGCATATGCGAAAGTGCCAGCTTGACAGGCTTAGACAATGAAGTTCTCTATTTTTTCACATTACACATATAGCAACAGTGCAAGCTTCCCAATCTTGCTTCACCAATGTGCCTTAATCCTTCTGGATCTGAGACAGTAGTTCCAGGCCCATTCCTTCCTGGTCTTCTTCACTAAAGTGATGCTGTATGATTGAATATGACCATTTGTATCATTATTGCTACCACTGTTCTACAGTTGCAACAAATCTTGTACAAAGCAAGTCACATAAGGTGTGAATGGAAAAGTTCTGATTTGCTAAGTATGATTATCCTGTTTATATGCATGTATCATCTTTGTATCTGAAGTTATGAATATTGGCTATGGATTGGTATTTTACATTTCTGGGTAACACCCCCCAGAGAGAATTTATATTAGGGCCAGAGAACTATGTGTTGATGGCCCATTAAGGACAGTCAGCTCACAATGGACCTTTTAAGAAATGTATCCCACCCAGTAAGCCTTTCCTGTGGATGCCTCAGGAAGAACAGGGGATGGCTGCCACTGTGAGTCATCAAAGCATGTAAGGACATTAGGGCTGCCAACTTCCTCATCCCACAAAACCGAACACCCTAGCCATGCCCCTTCCTCAAGGCCACGCTCCCTGCCCCACCCCTTCCTTGAGGCCCTGCCCCCCACTCACTACATTCCCCCTCCTGGCTGCCTGGGAGAGAAGGGAACCTGAGTAGAGTAATGCTGGGAAAAGGCAAGAGGAGCTGGAGAGCTCCAGCCTGGCAACTCCCCAGGCTGCAGGCCTTATGCAAGGCCTACAGAGATACTGGGGCTGCAGAGGTGTAGCCTGGGGTTAGGCAAAGGCAGCAGCTCCAACCCCCCCTTGCCAGTGATGAGTGGTTTACAGACTGCAGTTTGCCCCAGGGAGCGGGGGCTAAAGGATGACTGGCAGTAGCCACTGAGGCAAGGTGGGGATAGAGGGTTGGGGGTTACTCTGGGAGAGGAGACCCAGATGGTGGGTTACTGCTGGGGCAAAACCCCAGGGTAAAAGGCACTGGGGTCCAGAAGGGACACAGGGCCAGCGGCAGGTGAGACACTGGCCAGTAGGGGCACTCTGAACCTGGTGAAGAGCTAATTCCCAGGACAACCAGCAGAAGGTGCCACACTGTTGAGTCAGGCTTCGCTACAGACCCTAATTCTGATGAAACTGGTTTTCAGTAACCACTCATCATAAAGTCCAGTGTCTGGATGGTGAGCCAAGGGCTGGAATCTCTAAAGCGATTGTGTTTTTGACTTCTTGTTAACCAATGTGGTGACACAGAAGTTCACTTTTGTTACTGGCTTGGTATAATCTAATGATAGAATAACCACCAGTTTGGGGTGCCCTATTTCTCAGCACTGTGTCCTGAATTTGGTATTCTCAGGCCTGATCTACACTGGGGGGTGGGGGGATCAATCTAAGTTGCACAACTTCAGCTATGTGAATAACGTAGCTGAAGTCGATGTACTTAGATCTACTTACCACGGTGTCTTCACTGTAGTAAGTCAATGGCTGACACTCCCCCATCGACTCCATCTGTGCCTCTTGCCCTGGTGGAGTACCGCAGTCGACGGGAGAGTGCTCGGCAGTCGATTTATCACATCTAGACTAGACGCTGCCCGTCGATCCAGCCAGTAATGCAGACAAGCCCTCAGCTGTGATCCATTGAGGCACAGACACAACTAAGCCAGCCAGCCAAACTGGCAGTTGTGAGAACTGTACTGACTCCAAATGCTCATTTCACATGAGCTGTTCAATGGCTATCAGAAAATAATGGGGTTCAGCAACTGTTCACCTGAGCTGGATCTGAAGAGATGACTGAGAGGTAAAAGCTCTGTATCAAATTACCAAATCATACGTGCCATCAAGTGAACTGAAACAATTTTTACTATATGATGGCTTGTGGTTTAGATGAAGAAGATATTTGTTTCAGATTGGGTTCTAATAGAGAGGTGTCCACAATACAAGAATCATTCTCACAATTATTGCTAATTGATACTTTTATTGGCAGTCTAATCATTGAAGCAAAGGATAGAATAGGCACGAATGGTAGACTGAACCGCAGTTTGTTCTAGAGAGTGAAACATATTGCTAGAAAGCTGTGCGGAAGCTTACATTGCCACTGTTTATATTATGTCTGTTCCATGGTTAAAGGACATCATTTTCCCATGCTGTCACTCTGCCATACTTCATAAGCAATATATTCCTTTTCAGAGACATGGTGAAAAAAAAAAAGATGGATAAAGATGGCTTAAGAAGTCAAAAAGCTGTCAAAGGGAAAAACGGGTTGTATAAGAGTTAAGGATCCAAACGATAAAGATGACAAAGAAAAATACTAACCAATACTGAATGGGTATTAAGGAAAGAAAATACTGCAAATAAAAGAGGCATTGCCCAGGAAGTAAAGGAAAACAATAGAAGATACTTTTAATAAATAAAAAGAATAGATCAATAAGGAAAGCCAGTGACTCACTAGAGAACAGTGGAAAGAACTTAACAACACAGGAAGAAGATCCAGCAGAAAAATTCAAGTTCTTTATCTCACTGCTCATAAGGGAAATTGGAGGTGAGATGACAGAAATGAAAATAACGTGTCTGGGGCAACACAATGAAAAATTAAAGGCATTAGGCAATCACTCCGGAACAAGTTTTGTGTCATTTAAAAATCAATAAAAACAGATGGGTTACACATCAAGATACAGAGGGAGATGGCACAACAGATCATTAGCAGAGTTATTTTTAATAGTATCTTTGAAAGTGGTGAGATAACAATGGGCTGGAGAGATACAAACATAATGAAATTCTTTAAGAAGGAAGCTATGGGGAGCAAAGAAATTAACTCTGGCCTTGGTGGCCGACAAGATCCTAGAGATAATCAGTGATGAGATCACAAAATAACTAGAAAAATATGACTTGATAATTAATGGCCAACTGTTTCATAAGGGATAAAGCTTCTCAGTTAGAAATTTTAAGATGACATTACAGAAAAGAAACAGAGGCGAGGCACAGACAGATACTGCTTGGATTTCCAATTGGTGTTCCATACAGTAAGAGATGAGGTAGGTGAGGTAAAATCTTTTATCAGACCAACTTTTGCGGTGGAAAGTACAAGCTTTTGAGCTCCACAGAGCTCTTCTTCTGGTCTGGGGGAGGAGGCCCAATCCAGAGTGTCTGAGTTAAACACAAGTTGGGATAGATTGTTAAGCAGAAGGCATAATGTGTTGGAGCCAGTCACTTGAAATGAAGTGGACAACTGGACATTAGATTGTTAAGCACAGATTGTTTAATTGGGCAATTAAAGGTAGCAGGCAATGTGGTGCAGTACAAACTGTTGTAATTAGCCATAAAATCAGTGTCCCTATTAAATCCATGGTTTTTGGTGTCTACCTCACCTACCTTCTCTCTCTTATATGCTGGGACCAACATAGCTACAACAACACTTTAATGAAGTAAGACACAATGCATAATCTAGACAAGTCTAATACGTGGAAGACAGCATGTCCTTGAATGAACAAAAAAAATGGATTGGCAAAAGCAGGGATTGCAAAATGAAAAGTACAGAGTGAATAAAATAATTTTATGTATGAAGAGGATGAATAAAAATCATTCATTTGAACCATCAGATAAGTGACTAAATATGTTAGCATGCCCATTCCCTGTGTTTCCCTTCCCCGTACACTTACGATGTCTCTGAGTTTCCACCTTTTAAGGACTGTCTCATCCTTCCCTTCCTTCAAGCTCTTACATCTCCTGTCAGTGTCAATATTGTTTCTAGTTTCCTTGCCCTCCACTCTGCTCCCCCTATATTCCTGTGTCACTTACAGCTTTACTACCTTATTCTGTGATCTTGTAAATTCTCAGAAGTTATGCAGAGATTGGCTTGGCTAATATTTGCAAATAGGGCCACAGAGAAAAAAAATCCAGGTACTGAGGCAATACAGCACCAATTTCACCAAAATGGCGATAGGAGGCACTGTGCTGCTGGAGGTACTGACTTTCTGATGAGATGCAAAACTAAGATCCAGACAATGTGTGCCTTTTAACTATCAAACGGCACTCTTTTCAAGGGCAGAGGTGGTGTTAAGCTCAATGTTAGGGTCATATTCCATTCTGCCTATCTAAATACCTTTGGGAGTTTTTAACTACAGCTTTACTTCTTGTCCTACATTTCTATGTAGTGTGGTATGCTGTTAAGTGGCTGCCATGTTCCATTCCAGAGAAGGCTGCATTTCAGTGGTCTGTGTACCAGATCCTATATATATATATATATATATATACACACACCCCACACCCCACCCCATTAGTCTGCTTGATCTTGTGCTGTGTTCAATGTTCTGGCACAGAAGAGGTCTGTGTCAGGCCTTCAGAAGATCAGGACTGTAGTAAATGTCACTTCTCTGCCAGCATATTTTAACACTGTGAGGCACATCAGAACAGAACACAGTGTTATGGGGGAGGGGACAGAATGAGATAGTAAATTCTAAAAAATACTTTTGTGATGGGGAAAAAAGTGTTCAATTAACTTCCCTGCTACAACAGCAAAGGTAACTAGCCTCCAACTACTGCAGATAAGACATTTCAGACACCTACAGGGAGGAGGAAGATCAGGTACATAAGCACTGTAATGACTGGTCCTGAAACTGAGCCTTCCTCCTTGGCAAGAGACCCAGTAACCTTCCTACAAGTCCCAGGCTCCTTAGTCAGCAGAGTCTTACCTCAGACTAGATAAAGGCATCTTGTAGAGTGATATTAGAGCTTTCTGGTATCAGGCCAAGGTATTGCTCGTTTTGTCATATGCCTGTCTGAAAAAATAATTACTGATTATAGGTAAAAGACAGGAAGTGTTTGTAGTTTACCTGAAGCCTCAGGATGATAAAGGCTGGAAGCATTTGTTATTTGTCCTGGCTGATGGAGGCAGCTATCTGAGGATCTTTGACTTGCAATCAAAATCCTACTTTTTGCAGAGGGCAACCTGGAAACCGCACCCAGTCCTAACTGTGGTTTAAGTATCATGGCAGATCGATAAAAACTTGGAGATACCTCATAGTGGGTATATGGCGGAGAACAGAATTCTTCTTTCATAGGCCTTTTCCCAACCTATAGAGAAATAAATGAAACAGATATCACTGCAGTGTATTCACATATCCAGGAAACAAGGAGCTCACATTTGCTTGTAAAGACTATGACTAATTTCTCCTCTTTGTGGTTGCTGGTTTGAGATCAGCATGGGAGATTCAAAATGTGATGGTTTGATCCTATTGATCACTCGCCATGGAATAAAAATTTCATTCACAACCCAGCCAAATGCAACACACCGCTGACCCTTGCTCTCAGAAAAAGCCTCAAGTAGTGAAAACAAAGTGACACTATTAACACCTGAAAGGTAAATCTCCTTGAACATGGAGAATGATGTGCCAAGGAAATGAGTAAAGGGAATTTTTGTTGGATGTTATTTAAAATATTCCTTATTTGAAGATAAACTAGAGCTCTTCCTTTTTTAAACAAAGACACTCATCTCTAGCAAAGTTTCTTGAATGAGCAAGTTGTCTTTTATTACAAGAATGTGGAGAATTTAATTCTTACACCATAATGAATGAAACAATTAGAAACACAGTTAAAAAGTACTTTTACCTAATTTCATCAGAAAAATAATCTCATTTGAGATTAATATGTTCAGATTCATTGTGATGAATAAATACAAAGAAACTTGGCCTTATTTGTTCACAAAATGACCCGGAGTCCTATGAATTTATTTGCTATTCATAAGCATTTGCCAGATAGTTTGGTATGAAAACATCAGCATATGGGCTAATCACAAACTGTTCACTTTGGCTTTTGTTATTCATTATTGATGTCTGTATGTATGTTATGTATGTAGTAGGTAACCTAAATTAGATGGTGCTGTTTCTGCTCCTTGAAACTGAAGCTTCTTAAAAGAGAGAAACATTTTTGACAAATGTGTGGTCCAATTCATGAAACTTTCAGGATTCATGTCCCAGGCTGTTGTCTGAATGCTGATGAAAGTCACAGCCCCATAAACAACAGCAGAACAAATTCTCCACATAAAGGCCACGAATCTGCAAAGACCTATACATGTGCTTAGCTACACACACATGTGTAGTCCCACTGAGGCTCGGTCTACACTACAAACTTATGTCAGTTTAACTGAAATCCACCCCCTGAGTGCACTATGTGAATGGGAGGACTTCTCCTGGTGGCACAGCTACCAACTCTCATGGAAGTGGAGTACCTATGCTGATGGGAGAAACTCTCCCGTCAGCTTAGGTAGCGTCTTCACTAAGCGCTACAGCTGCACCGCTGTAGCGCTTTAAGTGTGAACCTGCCCCGAGTCCACCTCTTCAGGCTGTGGGCTGCTTTCCATGACTTGGGATAAAAGAACACAGCAAAGTCACATACTTATGGGTGTTCACTCCTCCACAATTTGCTAAGACACATTTACACTATTGCCCCCATTAGCACTCTGGGTTGGAGTCCAACTTTTGAAGACTTTTCTTTTAAAATATAAATCATAATTCTCTGTTAAGGACCCTTTAATATTTTCCAGTGTGAACCAGTTAGGGATTTGGGGGAGGGGGGAGTGGCTTGGAAATCAGGGTTAAATGTATTTTAAAAATTAATAAAAAATTACATAGGCAGAAGTATATCTACTGATAAATGAATTCTGCTGTAAATTACCATGTATTTAATATGACAAGCCATATCTTTTCAGTAATTATAAGCATTTAGAGGATGCGTGGCTATAGGAGTTTTGATCCTAACAGGTTCATAAGCACATCTTTAATATTTCAAAATACGTAAGATTGGCCTTAAACTATTACAGAAATCAGTTTAGAATCTTTTAGGGTTTTGCATATTTTATACTGAAATTCTGATAAAACAGATATTGTAGATATTTAGGGCTTGTCCACACTTAAAACGCTGCAGCTGCGCTGCTGTAGCACTTCAGCAAAGACACAACGTATGCCGACAGGAGGGGTTCTTCTGTCAGCGTAATTCACCGCCCTGAGGGGAGAATTCTCCTGTCGACCTAGCGCTGTCTACACCAGGGGTTAGGTCAGTTTAACTGTCACTCATGGGGTGTGGATTTTTCACACCCCTGAGCAACGCAGTTATACCTATCTAATTTCCTAGTGTATATCAGGCGTGAGCATTTTATCTTTGCTCTACATTTCTCACCATAAATGTAGCCTGTTTTTCTGTTCGTTCAAATGAGAGGCAAACTCTTCTAGTCCTACTGCATGTCACCAATCCAGAGCTCTTGCTGGACATACCTGCCAACCTTCCTCTGGAGGAGGAAAAGCCCCTGTTTACCATAGTGTTTACCATAGCAAATAGTGACCATTTTCTACAGCTGTCTCTTCAAAAGGCTCGCCCAGGCCCATGTATGTCAGCGGAGTTAAGAGACATGCCTTTCTCTCTCTCCAATGTTCCCATTTATAGCTTTTGAATATTAGGGGGTGATTGTGTGCTTCTGGGAAGCACTGTGACAGTACGGCAGCTTCCAGCAACAGACCATTCACCATCACCAACGTCAGTGTCAGAAATAGTTAATAAAGTTTGTTTACAATACCCACATATATCCCAGTACTGATTTACTGTTTTCAGGTTTTACCACCAATCTCTGCTATTTTCCTCAAAGAAATAAGTAAACAAACGTCAATAGGTGTACAAAAGAGGTGGTTATCTCCTTACCTCCTGTAAAAACTTTTCACTCATTTGACCAAAATGATGCCCCGGGGGTTTAATGCCAGATACCACAAGTCCCGAACCATAGATTCTTGGCTTCTGCAAGTCGGGTTTAAATTTGTCATACAGAATGTTAGATGGTTTAATATCCCCACCACTCAATATCTGCTGTTCTTTTGCCATGGGCATACCACACACAGGGGGACCATACGGCAGCTCAGTTGAGGCAAAGGAAGAGTCAAGATGGTCTATAGACTGAGGATTTCTTCTAATGTAAGTGATGATCTTAGGTCTCACGTGTTTGGGTTTGGGTATGACCGGTTTTATCTCAATGTTTTCTTCAGGCTTTTCACTGCTGTCACTCTCCGCATCACCCTTGGCTGTAAGGGAGCCCTTGGAATGCACAAGGATTGGTTTGGGGATTCCACTGTTCACAGCAGTCTTGATAGGCACTTTAGGGGATATGTTTAACAACTGGGTACTGTCAATGGGAGGTAGGACTGAGGAGGGTGACAGCTTGTCAACATGAAGTGCATAAAGTTCCTTTAAATTGCTGTTTGAAATTGTGGGCTGATTATTAACATTCACAGTTGCCACTGGGCGCAAGGAAGTTGGGACACAGAAAAAGGCATCAGCCCTTGCTGAAATTTTATAACTCTCTGATGCTTCATCTGAAAGATATTTCTTTGCAATAGCTGTCTTTTTATTCTGAACTGAAAAGCTTGCAGTTTCCACATCACTATCCTGGTTGTTTGGCTGTTCGTTTGACATTGTGTCTGTACTAAGCGCTCTGTGTTGATCTGAGAGATCAGAGGCAGACACTGTGTGTTTTCAGTGTTCCCTTTGACTAGCATCAGTTTATTCTCATTAACTTTCATGGTTTTGCTGTAAGGGAGACTAACGTTGTGTAGAAAAGATATATGCCCACCAACTGTTTGAATGCAACTTGTACCAGCTTCAAGTAAGTTTCTATTTCTTGTAGGTGTCAGTTTGCCACTCGATTTGCTATCAAATACAGATCCAATTTCTTTGTCTGTTATGTATTCCTGACGACCTTGATTAGCTGCCCTGCTTTCATCATCATTACTTCCTCTTCCTAACCCAGGGCAGGTGTTATTACCACTTCGTAGTCTGTCCTCAGCATAGGCTACCACTTGGTTTAAGAGTGGATCCCCTACTTTACTACAAAAGTCTTGAAACTGGGGAGCTTGCATTTTGGACACTTCAGCTCCACATCCTTTCTTCTCTTGTACTAATGTACTTTCTTCTCTTTGACATCCTAGAAATTCTACCAACATAATTCTCTCAATTTTTTGTTGACAAATGTTCTTAGATGGTACAAGTGGTGGATGTTTTAGCTCCAGTTTTTTACTTGTATGACCCTGACCTAGTTGTGCTTCTGACTTACTAGAGACTTCACTGGGCTTACCACCTAAATTTAGATCTACGTGAGTAGGATGCAGTGTGCTTTTGCTGTTAACATTTGGTACATCTTCCACATCCATTTGGCTCTCTGGGATATTTACTTTCTTGTTCTCTGAGGTAGATGGTTTCGAATAAAACACCATATTTTCCTCTGAGGTATTGTCAAGTGGATGAAAAACCATACCTAGAAAATGATCGGCTGGTGTTTTCTGTGATTTCTCAGTATCACCAATCAAATGATGTGATGTATCAATGGAATCCAGTGATGCAGAAAGTGAACGTTTACACGACACACGTTCTTTTGAAAATGCTTCTGTTTTAGTAGAAAATTTACTTGATCTTCCCAAAGAAAGCCTTTTTATTCCTTCAGCCTCCATGGTCCTGATCATTTTATCCTTAGAAATATGCCGGGTAAATTCAACATCATCTTTTGAAAGACACCCTGAACTGGTATCATTTGCACTGCTCTTCAAATTAGACAGACTTTTTCCTCGGCTAATACGAATATTCTTTGAAGTATCCTTAACTTCATCAGTCTTGTAATCTTTATCCAATTCCCTGTTTACGGTAGAAGGCAACCTAAATTCTTGTACATTGATGTCACAAATCTGAGATTCCTTAAAGACCAGAAATTTATTCTGCTCTGTATCCAACCGCGTAATGTTCTCTGACCCACCAGTATGCACACTTCCAGGATCAGTTGTCAAATCACATCTCTTGACTTCCCCTTCAGTGCTTCTGACCTTTGTCATAATTTGGTTGGCATTTGTATCTCCCATACTTATTATGCTTTCATTGTTATTTTTTATTTCATTTCTGTTGTCCTGCAGCTGGGTGTAACATGGCTCACTTGGTACCAGTGATGCACTCATTTTGAAATTTCAGGTGACTGCTTTTTTGAAGAGCAAAAGGAGCAAGCTCTCTCTTCAACCAGTTTAACTACTATGCAGGCTTCAGTTAAGGATTTAAATTACAAACTGATCAGTAGAAAATTCTCTCTCAAGTTGTTTGGAGTCTTGTTAGATTCACATTTTTATGCTGCTTCAATTGCTTTCAGAGCAGCTTCCAGACTTGAGAAATCTTTTTGACATACAGTAGAGATTTAATTAAAGCAAGAGATATCCATTAGGTTCCCTCAGAATGAGAGCCAGTTAGTCCATTTAACCTATAAGGGAAGAAAAAAAAATCACACATGTTGTTAACTCAGATGATGTCACTAGCAATACTCACTGTTGCATCCACAGATTAATGTTTCATAACACTTTATGTAAATTTTCAATTATTGCTAATAACAAATATTTGTAGACCATGGCCTGGTCTACACCAGAAAAGTTGTATCATAATAACTATGTTGGAAAGGGGTGTGATTTGTGTGTGTTATACCCACATAAGCACTAGTGTGGATGTAATTATATCATAGCTTTTTTCGCTTCCCATACAGGAAAAAGCTACACTGGTATAAGCACTTGTATACCGATATAACTGAGAGAATTATGCCACTTAACTATCCCAGTATAGTTAAAATGACAACACTTTCTAGTGTCGACAAGTCCTGAGGAACAAAATTCTGGCGACTTCAGGGAAAGTATACTTCGCTTCCCACCCTCCCCCAAATAGCAGTGATACACACACTAAGGCTATATCTACTCTAGGAGCTAGGGATGGGCTTCCATGCTTGCAGACACATACCCATCCTAGCTCAACAAGAGCTAGCGTGAGCATAAGTAGCAGCCGCGGTAGCATGGGTAGCTGCAGTGGAGGCGTGGCTTAGCCGTGTTCGCCCCACCAGTTTCGGGCAGGTTTGTCGTTGCCATGGCTAAGCCGTGCCTCCACTACCGCTGCCAGTGCAGCTGCACTACTATGTTGGGCATATTAGCTCAGATCTGAGCTAGTACAAGTATGTCTACACCAGTTGGAAATCACATCCTTAGTTCGTAGTGTAGATGCTAAGCTATGTTACCGCCATCAAAGCAGACCCTCCCTGATTTTTTTAATAGGGCGCTAAAAAGGAGCAGGCATCCTCTGTCAACTGCAATGTCTAGAAGACAGCTTTCTACACTTGTCTCCTCACATTTTATCTCAAGTCATTCAAAAGTAATTATTAATAAAGAATAATATTTAACATGTAATAATATGTACATTTGGAAAACTAGAAATGAGCCAAAGTTGCAAAACTGAGATCCAGTTTTGAAACCACCACCAATACCCTAAGATACTGAGATTCCAGTTAGAAGGTACTGAATCAGGCCATTTTAGAGAGACGCTCTATCTATAACATCTGAATGCAAGTTTAGGTCTGTATTTCAAAATCCCTCTACGCTCAGAGGTTCCAGTTCAGCCCATTCTACAAAAGGGCCCTGATCCTAACTTTCAGATCAGAGTTCAAGTCCAGATTTGTGCATGTGGTTTGGATTCCAGTTTCTGGCTCAGTTCCCTCTCTAGAACAAACATTAACTGATTACATTAATTCATGAAACAGGACATTATATCAGAGCTCCATTTCAATATCACAGAACCGTATTATTATGCATCTTATCCTTGGAGCACTTTAGGATATGAATTTTAAATTAATGCTATGTTCTGCCCTTACTCCCAGAGATTAAATTATTGAACTGATTGTAGATATTTAAAGGTTTCATTTAAAATTTGGACTTTCTCCAATTAAAATCTTTTGCAGAATTACAGAACCAGAATTTACACATTAATTGTGAAGGCTAAACCCTCAACCTACAGGGAATGACTCATGTTGCTAAATGGTGACCCTCAGGTTCTCTGGTAGACAGTCAAAGGTTAGGGTGCATGGCATCAAAGGAAAGAGATTTTAAAACAAAAAGAACAGTGAGGAGAGCCTCAAGGCTCAGAAAAGGATGGGAAAACTCAAATTCAGCCTCTACCCACCATCCCTTCCCTCTTCCTAATTCCATCCTCCCACCTCCAAAAAACCTCAAACACTATACATACTACAGTTGCACTAATAAAGACATAATAGAGAGGATACATAGCAGAATCTTGTTTTCATTGTGTAATTTGCTGAGAAGGAATGAAAAACAGAGCTGATATGAAACAATGGGGTTCCTTTCCTCACCACTCCCCCTGGGGGTTAGGGAGAATATAAGAGAAGAATGTCATAAACATTATGGTTCCCAGGTATGTAACCTAAGTTAATGCTATGAGTCACTATTTGACTTATTTATTTATATGGTCAGCATCAAAGGTATGAACTATGCTTATTCAGATCAGGTGCTCAGTTGTCTGTGTTCCATGCCTGGGGGGGGGGGGGAAGCAGGGGGTGGAGGGAGGGAGGGAGGGGAGCAATGCTATTGTCATAGGCTAATTTGCATTCTGTTCCATTACTTTTGTATAGAATGTATGAACAAAATAGTATTTTAACAAGAAAAAAAACAAACAAAACTAAAACCCCAACCTTCTCTTTGTCACTTTCCTCTCACCAGTTATGCAGATCACTTTTGAAGTACACGTAAGGAAATATTATTCACAAATGTGTACTGTGCTTGCCAAATACAGTTTTTCAACCAAAGAAAAACCAAAAGCCATATATATTCACCTCTTAGTCAACAAAGTAAACTTGTATTTGCTTAGCGTGTGGAATGTACGTGATTAATTTTATTGGGAATATGGTTTCCCCGTAGTGGAAAGTTGACCAATCTGACTAAATTGAAGAGATGTGCTCAGGCTTTGTTCTTCAGATAGAACTGTATTTCCCTCAAATGGAAAGCAAAACTGACAAGGACAATACAATTTCATTATTTTTTTTTAGTAGTGAGTGATCTTGGTGTCAGATATTTTGCAATAATTTAAGTTAGTTTAAAAAAAAACTTTATCATGTGCTCTGCAGATTAGTAGGGATGACACCACTAGAGTATGTTACTCTCGCCCTCCCCCCTCCCCCTCCTGCAGGAAAACTAATAGGAGAACATCTCTGATATTCCTTCACTGAGATTCTCCCCAGTTATTCTGTCAGCTCACCAGAGGGAGGGGCTCCCCCCAAACAACAAGCAGCAGGGTCCATCATTGAATTCCATGAAACCCCCAGGATCTGATGAATCCCCTGAACCAAAAGAAGACCAAGCATATTCACACAGATGTCTCATACATCTAGGTCTCTGGCACACCCTGCAGCAGAACTCCAGTGGAGCTACACTGACAGTACTTCTGAAGCTAGCAGCAGCTGTCAGGAGCCCCCTTAAACAGGATCCCTAATGGGAAAGTAAAGGCTTAGATTCAGTAGTTCCCAAAGTTGCATTACATACCCTTCCTCAATAGCACAAGGCGGATGGACCCCTCTGGCCTTGGCCCACTAACTCCTTGTCCCTTCCCCACTTATGGATTCTCGGACCCAGGGAGAACAATCTAGGCGCTACAGCAGCGCCAATAAATAAATAAATAAATAAAATAAATAATGTGGCTCTCAGGTGCACAATTAGATCTTAAAAAGCGACAGAGTCCGGTGGCACCTTACGGAAG